ATTTGGTCTCTCAATCTCTTTGACTTGGGGTTAGAAAATTAATTCCATCTCTGTCAGACTGGTCACTAGTCTGCATCCTGGGCAATCCACATGGAAAAATTGAAAAGGAATTTGTGCTAGTGATGAGATTCTTATCAACTTTTATAAAGAACTTTAAGTTAAATGGAAGGATGGCTCACAGGTTCTATTTAGAGAAACAAAGCAGTTGGTGAAATCTCAGGGAACCTTGATTATTTTACCTTATAGTACTCATGAAGAGTGCAAATAGACAGCTATAAAGATAATTGCCACTTACGTACCATCATCTATTGTACAGAATAGAGAAACAGAGAAATTCTATTAAGGACTTAACAAAATCCTCCAAAGTGGGTTAATATGTACCAAGTTGGACAAAAATTTATGTAGCCTTGTGGGCTTCCTTGGGTATCATGCCCAGGTTTGAGATATGTTGTGTTTGGAGGTCAAAACCAAGTCACTCAAAACCACGTACTCTTGATACCATTGGGTGACTTGATTTCACTGAGCTGGGGTTCTATGATGCTCTATTAACTCTGCTGGGCTGCTCTCTTTGCTGGACATCTCTATTACTGCAGGGTGACGTTGAGGCTACTTAGCATATCAGCTGAGTTGCTCTCTGCTACCATCTGCTGGTCTTCAGACACTTCAGGTCCGCTGCTGCTATCTGCTGTCATGTGATGGAATGAAGCTGCTAGGCAACGTTTTCCCTCTTGGCAACCCATACTTACCTGGGCAACCAAAACCCCCCCCCCATGATTATTTCTCATGCTAAGTTTTATTAATCATGTCATTTCAACTTCTTTTCCTTTTTCTGGGTTCAAGATTTGGTCCCTCAGTCTCTGAGCTGGGGGTTAGAAAATTAATTCCATCTCAGTGATAGACTGGTCATTAGTCTGCATCCTGCGGAATCCACATGCAAAAATTGAAAAGGAATTTGTGCTAGAGTGATGAGATTCTTATCAACTTTTATAATATCTTGGTTGCCATTGAAACCAACTTGGAGCAAGATTGAAAGGGCCAGGTAGAGTCACTGCAGCTGATAACCTTTGTCCTAGTTTCATTCTTCTACTTTGAGTCCTTTGGTGTGTATTTCTGCTAACAGCAAAGTCAATGGTTTCCATAAGTGTAAAAAGCTGAAATCTGGAAAAGCACCTGGTCTTCACCAAAAACAGAAGAAATATATGTCAAAAGTTAAAAAAAAAAAGGAATCGAGGGATTGATTTTCAAGATTTCTTGGGGGAAAGATTCCAAAAGAATGAAAAAGATAAAAAATTTAACTTTTACCCCAAAAAGTGACCAACAAGTCATCGATGACCAATATGCCTTTTTCATTATCATGAATTTGTTTTGGAGAATGGACTAAATACATAATGAAGCTTTCTTTGGTGAAATCATGAGAAAGGAACAACAGGCAGGCTTTCACAGATCATTTTCTATAGCATATCATCTTTATAGTCACACAGTTAGCTGAGATATTTAAGGTATGTCATATTCCATTCATTGTACATAGTTTGGTGACTTCAGAAAGGGCATTTGACTTGGGAGAAAAAAAAATGTAGCTTTAAAGACTAATTTCAGGACAGGTGCCATCCACGTGTATATTAAAATCAGATAAGATGCTATGGAAGAGATGACTATAGAGACAGTTTGCTTGAAGATCTAATGAGGATCAACATTAGGTGAGACATAAAATAGAGAGACATGTTCATCAGTTTCATGGAGGATGTCCTGAGGATAGTCTAAATAAAAGATGGATTTTCTATAAGATGGCAACATTCTCCAGATGCTCACAGATGACAAGTGCTGAGTGCAGGGTGCGTGACATGTCAGTCAAAAAGGACTAGTTTAGCCATCCACACAGGAAAAACAAAATGGATAAAGATGGAATATCCCAGATTATATGAAGTTGGACAGGGAAACTAATTGGTCTATCAGCATTTATATTTTAGACCAGTGCTACAAACAGGCAATAAACTAGGCCTGAGTTGAACAGGAAGAGATTGAGCTGGATTGTTTAGGAAATTTTTCTGTACTTTCCAATGATACCAAACTACATGGTGCAATGACATTATTTTTCTGGTGATGAATGGAACACCATGATCTCACACTTAACATTCCATATCTACCTCTGTTCATTTTCACAGGTAATACCTTCACCTACAACACACTTTCCCTGACCTTTACCTCTTAGAATACCCAGCTTCTTTCAAAGCTCAGTTCGAATGCCTCTTGAGGTCTTTCCTGACAGCCCCAATTGCTAGGGTATCTTCCCCATCCTCACCAAATTACTTTGTATGTATTTTGCATTTACTTATGTGATGTACATATCCTTCCCTCCAGTAGAATGCAACCTCCTTGAGGGCAGGAAAAGTTTCCTTTTTGGCTTTGTATCTCCCAAACCTAGCGTGGTACCTGGCACACAATAGGTTCATAATAATATCTGTTGAGTCATTGATTAATTTCAGAAGAAACAGGATTGCAGGTGATTAAAGGGACAACAGAAAGTCATACGCTGGAACTGAGTAAGCTGCAGTTATTACCATTTACGTATGTGAGCAGCGTAAAAAGCATGGGTGACTAGGTGGCCCAGTGGCCACAGTGCTAGGTGTGGAGTCAGGAAGACTCCTCTTCACGAGTTCAAATCTGACTTTAGACACTTACTAGCTGTGTGACCCTGGGCAAGTCACTTAACCCTGTTTGCCTCAGTTTCCTCATCTGTAAAATGAGCTGAAGAAGGAAATGGCAAACCACTCCAGTGTCTTTGCCAAGAAAGCCCCAAATGGGGTCACCAAGAGTCAGACATGACTGAAAATCGACTGAACAACAATATTGTAAAAGACATCACTGAAGTCATGCACAACTGGAAAAGGAAGTGGGCTGCTCATGTAATGAGAGGAAGGGATGCCAGATGGGCAGACCCATTGATAAACAAAACATACACAAACAAGAATAGGACTTGAGTGAATTGGTTGGTATAGTGAACTCCCACATAAGGAAATTGCTATTATGAAATGGCTTGTCATGCAATTAGTTTCAGAGCTGGGACCTGAATCCAAATCTAGTCCTATTTCTACAATACCATGGTGTGGTAAAAGTGATATTTGTTATTACTTTCTTATTAACATAATGTGAAAAATCTACTTTATGAATCCATTTGTATATCCTGTGGATTGCTTGGTATAATAAGCTATGGATCAAAATAGACATATTAAACAGTGAAACCCCAATGATATAATGATAGAAACACTGAAGAGCCAGGAAAATCAGTTTTAAATTAAAATAAAATCATTTTCAGTGTCTCAAGCTAACGGTCTCAAAGCTGCAGATCTCTCAGATTTGCAATGACACTGCCACATTAAGAGTGGCATGGTGCCAAACCTGATGCCACCTCCAATATTTCAAGGAGGGCAGTTCCAACTGCTTCTCTGAGAGGAATGGGAGGCTCCATTGGGAAGTTTCTCCACAAAAACCAGAAGTGGTTCAGAGGCAATGGAACCACATTACTATTCACACATATCAATACTGTAGGTCGATATAAGTCTGGTGCCACCAAACTATAGGTTCTGAATTATCATCTTGCTATCTCACCAGGTTGTTTTCTCTTGCCCATCCTCTAAATTACCACGCCACTTTCCCATCCCCCTCCACCTGCTTGTGAAGTCAATTGTTACATTTTTAGTGTATTTACACTTTGCCTATCGGCCACTGCTGCAAATCAGGGTGTGCTTGTTTTTTTGTTGAACATATAGACTTAAGAAAGTGTTGGAGAAAATATTTACAATGCAAATTAAACTTAAAAGTATGTCGGTGTACATTTCCCCCCCAGAGATTCAGTTAAATATTTACCAGCATATCCCTGACCACAAGTGTTACAGAAATGCTGAGTTCTCTGTGGTTCTCAGCAAATAAACAGCCTTCTGCCCTCTATCTAGCTCCTTCTCTCTTGGAATGGCCACACAGTCCCATCAGTTTAGATGGTGCAGTTAGTAGACACAATCAGCTCCATGTCCTTGCATTTGTTATGTTTCATTGTACCCTGGTCACATGACCTTGACATAATGAAATTACAACAGAACATGCTCAATGGCATACAGTGTTCTACTCTTGGTTTAGGAAAAGCAAAAGCAATAAATAATACCTAGGGATAGGAACAGGAGGACCTGTGATTTCAATAATATAAAGAACTCTTGGATGGAACTTGCTGACTTGGGTAATTGCTCAGAGCACCGAGAGGGTAGGTGATTTGCCCAGGATCACATAATCAATCCATGGCAGAGGTGTAAACTGAAGGCAGGTCTTCCTAGCCTAGAGGGCAGCTCTCTACCCACTGTATCCACTTCCTCATGTTTAGGGAGGACTAACACCTCTGGTACGAGGGCTTACTGAGCCCTTTTCAGAGATGCTCACCCACCTTTGGTGTCCATCTCATTCACCCAACCAGTGGCTCTAAGAAGATGCAGCTTGTTCAGTGGCCACACCCTGGTAAACCTCCTCAGCAGATGGGCTAAACCAGCTTTAGGGTAACCAACAGGCCTCAAACCTATCAGCGAGTTAGGGAGATATTTACCCCAGTCATATGAAGACTTTCCCTGGTGGAATGGGCAGATGAGAACAATTTGTTCCAATGGCCACAAAGGCGGCTAAAGCAACTGTTATGGAGCACTTAGAGCTTGGCCAGACATTGAAGATGCCAAGGTCATCCACTGCATCCCGGGCCATCACCAGTCACCTTGACTTTTGTCCTGCCACTAGACTTTAATGACTCTGGAAGAGAGAGAGGCTGCTGACTTTGCACAACTCTGTCTCACTTAAATACAACTCACACACAAGTCAAGATGTCACCTTGTGACGCCATTGGTCCTCTTTGAAAACGAAGGACAAACAACAATGTTTCACAACTCCAACCCTAATTAGTACATAGACTGTTCCAAATCCAGGAGTTCTAGGAAAGGGATCGCTTAGTTTGTGTAGTCATCCACAGCTCCTTCTCCTCTAAGTGGAGAAAGGAGTAGGGACAATAAAACATAGTCCCAGTTGATGTTCTCATGTTACCCAGAACGGCCAGTCAGGTGAAGACTTTGGAACTCTGGACCCAAGACAACTCAGTTTTCTTTTCATCAAGGAATGAGGCATGGGATGCAGAAGTAAGTACAGAGTGAGGCTCCTGGGAATGGTGCTTTTTTCTTTGCTGTCCTGTTGCTAATGGGGTCCTCTAACATGCCTCTTCTTGTGACTGGCTCATTGAATTCATTTCAAGGAGGTGAACTCAACAGCTGGCCAATTCTGAGACATTCTGCCCTGGTATCTCTCATTCCTTGACTCAGTCTGCACATCACCTCTGCCTTGCACCCTATCATTTCTGCTCTGACTCTTCTAATCATTGGCCAAACTTGGCCTCTCCTCCTTCTCTACTGTCCCTGTAGTTACGGGGGTTTACGTGGTGAGAGACTTATATCTATGTATGTCTTATCCTTTTACCAGGCCATAAGCTATAGGAGGGCAGGACTGGCATCTTATAGAAACTCTATCTAATCCAGTGCCTAGCTACAGGAAGTACCTAATAAATGCTTGTTGAATTGCATATTTACTATTAAACTTGTAAAGTACACAAAAGTATGTTTATTTTAAGTCAGAAATGAAGTAAAACCCCTGTTTTTAAAAAAGTTAGTGTTTTTATGGATTTAACTTTTTTATTCAAGGGAGAAGGACCTGTCTTGAGTGGTAATGCAGGGGACAGGACCTTTTCAATTGAAATTCTCTGTATAATGCCCTAAACGATAAATACATAATTTTTTTTTAAAAGATGAGGGTGGTGATGTGTGTGTGTGTGTGTGTGTGTGTGTGTGTGTGTGTGTGGTGAGTGTAATTTCATCTGTATAACTGACTCTTCGTGTAGACATCCTCCATTAATCTAGATTAGCTACTTATCTGTGACTTAAGAGTATTCCAGAATTGTCTGGGAGCAGGCATGTAAACGTGTCCTATGTGTGTCATAGGTTGGACTTGAACCCAGGTCCTTCCTACTCCAAGGTTAGCTCTCTTCATGCCTCTCTATATCCCACCTCTACTCCCATATTAATCACTGATTCCAGTATAAAATGGCAAAGTGTTTCATTTTTTCAATGATAAAGCCTTCAGGCAAACTAATTAGAAATGTTGACATCAAAGTAATTGGCATCATGGAAACATTCTTATCTATGCAGCTGGGGTATTCTTGACTCTCATCTCTGATAATGTCACTCTTTGGAATGTGGAGAAAAGAAGTTATTTTGGATATGATTCTGACTAATACAGAGCAGTAGCTGTCCAAAGTAAAAATGCTGGGAACCTTGAGAGGAAGTGACCACATTTAATCATTGATAAAGAGTAATGCCCAGCATGGTTTGCCATGAAACTTGGAATTTGGGAGAGTGGATTTCAAAGGGTTCAGAGAAAGGCTAGCTGGGCAGATTTTCCAGGGAAAGTTAAATTCAAGAATGAAATTCTGATGACAAGCACAAATTATTCTAGTAAAGAAGTAACAGTGGTAAAGAGATATTTGCATGAATGCACAGGGAAATATATCAACCAATTTAGAAATTAAAGAGACATATACAGAACATGGAAGCAAGGGCAAAAAACTGAAGATGAACCCCAAAGTATCAAGGAATGATAGTTCAGCTGAGGCTAATGATGAGTACTAACATCAACAAAAAGGGCTTTTTAGAGCTATCAGGGTATAAGAGGAAGCTAAAAGGGAAATCACCTCTGTGTAAGGTAGATGGGAGAGAAAGCAGAACTCAGTGCCTATTTTGCTTCTGATTTCTCTCCTAAAGTAAATTACCTTTAGATTAGGAAGGAGAAAACCTCCTAAAAGTGTTAATAGGGATTTGAAATGCAAATTTCAAATATGGTAAGAGAGTATCTAAGGATAGGTAGGTGGCAGAGTGCTGGACTGGGAATTAGGAAGACTCATCTTTCTGAGTTGAAATCTAGCTGCGTGGTCCATGGCAGGTCACTTAACCCTGTTTGCCTCAGTTTCCTCATCTGTAAAATGAACAGGAGAAGGAAATGGCAAACTACTCTAATATCTTTGCCAAGAAAACTCTAAATGGAGTCATGAAGAATGGGACATGACTGAAAAATGACTGAATAATAACAGAGTATTGAGTGGCACCCAGTAAGTTCAAGGTAGGCTCAGATAAGCTATATCCCAGGGAACTTTTAAATGTGATAGCTGGGCTACTAATGTTTTCCTTTGTAAAATCATGGAGGACAGTGCTAAAGGACAAGAAATGGACAAGTATTATCCTTTTTCTTCTAATAAGAATGAAGATGGATTCTGGAAACTATGCACTCGACTTTGATTCCTGGAAAAATTCAAGAACACCTCTGTAAAGGAACAGGGTTATGAACATTTGCAGAAAGTGATCCTTGTGAACCAACATGACTTCATCAGGAACAAGTAATGCTATACTAATTTCATTTCCACTTTTATGGGGTGATTAGGAGATCAGGGAAATGCCATAGATATGGTATGCACAGACTTCAGTAAGGTACATTCCAAAGTCTCTCAAGAAATCTTTATGAAAAAGATGGAAAGAGTATAAATAGCCACAGAATAATAAATTAGTGTGGTATAAAACCAGCTTCAGCCAGTTGAATGGCTAGACCAAAAAAATGGAAATTAATGGAGTGATGTCACTGGAGGACAATCGAGAGTGGAGTGCCACAGTGCACTGTCCCAGACCTGGATCTGTTCAACATTTTTATCAATTACTTGGATGAAGACATTGATAGAATGTGTATCAGATCTGCAGATTTTATTCAATTCAACAAACACTTATTAAATACTTACTATATTTAAGGCACTGTGCTTTGTAATGTGGACCCAAGTCAAAAATAACATAGTCTCTGCCCTTAGGAAGCTTACATTTTACTGGGGGATGGGACAGATGATATGGAACTAGAACTGGAAAACTTCTGTCATGATCCACCAAAAACTTGGCTGGCTGGAATGGTAGTCTAGCGTTAATAAAATGAAAGTTATAATGGGAAAAACATAAAGTCATAAGATTACAGGTCCTTCCCTAGAGCTGGAAGGTAACTTGTCCAATTCCTTAATTTTAGGTCAATTGTCAAGGCTGGGATTTGAAACAAGGTATATTTGCAGTTACGTGGCACAGTGGATAGAGTGCTGGGCTTGGAGTCAGGAAGACCTGAGTTCAAATCCAGCCTTAGAAATTTCTTAGTTGTGTCACCTTAGGCAAATCACTTAACCTCTGTTTGCCACTGGAGAAGGAAATGGCAAACCACTCCAGGATCTTTGCTAAGAAAACTCCATGGACAGAGGTCCATGGGGTCATGAAGACTCAGACATTACTGAAATAATGGAATAGCAATAACAACAACATACTGACTCTAACTCTCTTCTCCTCACGCCACTACACTTGCATTTTGAAGATCAACTGTATAAATTTAGGAAGGGGTAGATACTTAGATTTTGAGCTTTCAATGTTTTACAATCTATTTGGTAGCTATGAAATAACACAGATATACTGACCAAACCAACACTCTTTTATTCAATTATGGACAGTGTGCTAATGAAAAGTCTACTAGAAAAAGACCTGAGGGTCTCAGCAGACTAAAAGCTCACTACGGATCAAAAATGTGGCATGGCAGCCAAAAAGCTAAAGTAAACTTCCGCTTCAACACGAGAAGTAGAGTGCCAAGAATGAATGAATAAGTGGATAAAAAAGCACTTGTTAAGTGTTTACAATATGCCAAGCACTGTGCTAAGGGCTTGGTTTACAAAAAAGTAAAGTAAAATAGATGTTGCTCTTAAGGAGTTCATATTCTAACCTGGGGAGAGATGACGTACATAAGAAGTATGAGCTGCAGAGAAGACTGAAGGGTCTGATGGTCCTAAGGGTGTACAGCTTGAGGACAGACTGAAAGGTTCAGGAGTCCTTCTTTGAGAACTTCAATTAGCAGGTCAGATAGCAATGCCTAAGGGTGTGGAGTACACAGTGACACGTCAGTGGAGTGGACCTAAGGGTCCAGTGGAAGACAGATGATCTAACCTGGTGGTCCTCTATCTTATCAGAAGGATTGTAGTTATGGACTCCCTGCTCATCTGGGTGCTGTGAGGGCTCTTGTTAGACTAGCAAGGGGGGAAGGGCTGGAGGTGCCCAGACCATTGTTAGTGGGAGGGGAGTGTGGAGGTTCAGAGGGGAATGAGGATCTTGAGTTCTCTCCTACTTGGGTGAGGATGTTGGGTGAGGTGGGGGTAAATGCTCAGCCAGGAAATGAAAAAAGGGAATGGAACACTGGCAGGAAGGCAAGGGGGAAGGGTTTCCCATAGTCCCTATTTACTCAAGTGTTCTTTGCCCTGATTATACCACATCCAGAGGACTCTGTTCATTTTAGAAAAGATACCAGTAAGTTGAAGCACATTGAGAAGACAACTCCAAAGCTCATCATTACCTGGTTCCTTCCTACCTTTCCAGGCTTTTTTTTTTTTTTGGAGAGGTAATCGAGGTTAAGTGATGTGCCCAGGGTCACACAGCTAGTACGTGTCTGGAGGCAGATTTGAACTTAGTTCCTCCTAACTCCAGGGCCACTATGTGCCAGGCACTGGAGTACAAAGAAAAAGGCCAAAAAACAATAAGAATCACTCTATCCATTGTGCCTCCTAGCTGCCCCATCCTTTTCAGTCTTCATATACCGTACTCCTTTTCACATACACGGTAACCCAGTGACACTGTCCTCCTTGCTGTTCTTTCCACAAGCCCTTCCATTTCTCAAATCTAGTGCATTTTCACTGGCTGTCTATTATATCTAGAATCCTCTCCTTCCTTATCTCTCCTTTCTGGCTTCCTTCAACTCTCAGCTAAAATTCCACCTTCTACAAGAAACCTTTCTCAATCCTCCTTAATGTCTCTGTTATTATTCAGATGTTTTCATTCATTTCTAATGCTTCATGACCCCATTTGGGGTTTTCTTGGTAAAGATTCTGGAGCAGTTTGCCATTTCCTTCTCTAGCTCATTTTTACTGATGAGGAAACTGAGGCCAACAGGGTTAAGTGACTGGTCCAGAGTCATACAGCTAGTCAGTGTCCAAAGCCAGATCTGAGCTCAGGAAGATGAGTCTTCCTGACTCTGGGCCTAGCATTCTATCCACTGCACCACCTCTGAGATATCTCCAGTTTATCCTGTGCACAGTATAGCTTGTTTATATATTGTTGTTTACATGTTGTCTCTCCATTAGACTGTGAATTCCTTGGGAGCAGGTGTTGATTCTTATTACTGTTTTTTGGCCTTTTTCTTTGTACTCCAGCGTCTGGCACATAGCAAGCTCTTAATAAATTTACTTGACTTGAAGAAAGATCTCAAGAAATTTCTCAACAATTCAACAATTAAAACTGTCAAAAAGTATAATATGCTGCCTCAGTAGAAAGTGAATTTCCTTCTGCTGGAGAACTTTAAGTGGATACTAGATGGCCTCTTGTTGGGGATATCGTAAGAAGGATTACTGTTCAGGAATGGGTTGGAGTAGGTGACCTGATCAGAGGTCTTTTCGACTTCTGAGATTCTATGCCTTCATTTTTCTGAAGGAAAAGATAACACCACAGAACTTGCAATGCTACTGCAATCTGTCGCTGAGAAACCACACACAGATATTGAAAAACCCATCACCATATTATTCAAATGATAGTCACTTACAGGCAAGCTAGAGAGATCAATCAGCAAAAAAAGGCTTTTGATATCTGCAATAGAGAGGTTCTTATGAAAACCAGAGGAGATAGAGAGTGCTTTCATTTTAAAACATACAAAGCTAAGAGTTTTCCTTATTGGAGACATAGACATAGCTATATCTAAAACATATAACACATTTAAGGCAATATAACATCAACGTTAGAGGTGGGAGCTTGTTTATTTCTGATGTTCTAAAGCACAGAGCAAAAAAGCAGAGCGTTAAGCGGCTACTATAAAATGTGTTGTCTATTTGTCAGAGGCATATGTTAGAAAAAGTCCAAAGTGTAGACTACAGAGAAATGAGACATGGTGGGCCTGGGTGACCTCCTTACAAGGAAATTCTAGGAGGAACCATCCAATCAGGGGAAGAGGCTACAGGGGTAGGGATATTTCCAATTTGTGAATTCCAAAGCTAGAATGAGTTTCTAGGATGAAAAGATTTCTAGGGCAGTGTAGAGAAAGTCCTGAGTGCATCCTGGAGAGGAATAAGTGGTTTGATAGTGATATTAAAAGCTATTGAGATCAATGAGAATCTGTTACACATCCATCCCCCCTCGAATACATATTGGATTAAGGCTATAAACTTTTGTTCATAGGATGGTAAAAGATCTGAAATAAAGCTCAAATATTGTGCTGTGGTGTTCACAGGTTTACTCTATTTCAGAAGGCAATTTCTAGTGATAGTAGGCTGGCTGATAAGATAGCTGTGGTTGGAAGTGACCAGTGGCATCTCAGGAACCCTTCTTATCATCAGCAAGTCAACTTCAGATTCAACAGTGAAATTTAAACAAAGGTAGTGAGCTCCTTAAAAGCCAGGACTGTCTTTTGCATCCCCAGGGCTTAGCATGGTACCTGGCGGATAGTAGGCGTTTAATAAATGTTGATTGATTGACTGATAGATTGAGAAAGCTCCATAGGATCAGGAATAATGTCTTAAAATTCTCTTAGTATCTCAATGAACCATCAGGTAAGTGCTTTACATATTCCATAATTCCAAAGCTCAGGAGGTAGTTGTTGAATGAATTAATGACTCTAAACCTGTAGCTAGGTGGGTATTCTGGTATACACAATTAAGTGATCATATAGAATTGTACATATCTTTTACATATATTCACAAATGAAACTCCAGGACTTCCATTGTGTTTCCACCATTCCTTATCCATTCCAGCAGCGATTAAACTGACGAGAAGGGAAACTATGCTCAGTTTTTATCACAAAGGCTTAAAAGTAACTTCTTTCTCTCAATTTAACTGATTTGCCCTTCAACAACCTCTCCCTTCAAATTCTCTTTACACTAATGTTTCTAATCAGCCTTTCCAAATGGAATTACAATTTGGACATTTCACTTTTTAATACATTCTCCTTTAAGGCTATTGGCCAGGTAATAGACTATCCTTTTATCTGTAATAATCTACATGTGATTATCCACTAGAATTCTGAGACACTTAAATTTTTATCATATCATATTCCAACTTCCTCTAATGTATTATTAGCAAAGAGACAAGACCATTATAAAAGCTAAAAGTCACATTAAAAACCAGAATCAAGAAAGAGTCTAATCACAGGGAGTGCATAATTAAAGTGATATTATTTGTAAATTAGAATGATTCAAAATGAAAACATACTGAATTATATATTTATAATCTATTAAGAACAGGATAATTTTACAATAGTCTTGAAAGCAGTTTCTCAAAACACTGGACATTGTGTTGATCCCGAATTAAATCTCTTGCCTTCTGGAATTTGGCATAAGTAGATTCTGATATTTATGCTTCATTTTTACCATAGTTCATTGCATATTCGAAGTCTTTAAAGCTGACATGTCCATCTGAGTCCTGATCTACTTCTCTGAAGAGAAGGAAAAAAAATATTAAATTTGCTGATTAAAAAACTATGCTTCAGGAGCATATGAGAGTATTTTTCTTTCATTTACAAATCTACATGAGTCTTAGGATCAAAGGATTTAAAGCATCATCTGGTCAACCTCTCTTATTTTAGGGAGGAAACTGAAGGCCACAGAAAGACCATTCCCCACATTTAGTATTTCATCTCCCATCTCTAACAGGCTGTGCTGTGTGAATTTATATATTCCCTTATCACTTCTGCCTTATAAACTTGAGCTTCCTGAAGACTTGATTCAAGAGCTATCTCTTAAGGAAAGCCTTTGCTGATGTTCCTAGCTGTTAGCATTCTCCCCCTTCTCAAATTATCTTGTATTTTATCTTTATCAGTGAGCATATTGTATCCCTCAGCCCACTAGAATGTAAGCTGCCTGAGGGCAGGGGCTATTGTTTTTCTATCACTTTTGTGTCTAGTTCCTAGCATGAAGGTTTACACACGTGTAGTAACTTCTCATTTTATCCTCAGGACAACCTTGGGAGGTGGGTGTTCTTCTTATCCTCATTTTACAGATGGGGAAACCGAGGCACAGGGTGGTTAATAAATGCTTGAATTGGATAGTGTAAGTGACTTGCCCAAGGTCACATAGGAAGTAAGTAACAGAAGTCAGGATTCAAAGGGAGGTCCTCTGTTACTGGACCCAAAGTTCTGTCTACCATACCACTGCCTATTCTACAGTGCCCACATACTAGAAGGCATTGTATGCTATATGATAAATGTATCTACCCTCCATGTAAGGTATAAAAATCACTGAATTAATTCCAGAAGTTACATATAAAGTCATTCTATTTGATAGCTATACCTTATGTGTTATTTGTTTTTATATGGAATTGCATATATTCTACAATATATCTAAGAAATAATAATAATACTAGTTGGCTGGCATTTATATAGTGCTTTAAGTTTTATGAAGTGCTTTATAAATATTATCTCACTGTATCCTTATAATAGGAGGTAGGTACTACTATTATCCCTATTTTATAGTAGAGGATATGGAAGGAGACAGACGTTAAGTGACTTGATCAGGGTCACACAGCTAGTAAGTGTTTAAGGCTGGATCTGAATTTAGGTCTTCCTGAGTCCAGTACTCTACTCACTGTTCACCTCATGAGTGAACAGTGCTACTGTTTACCTAATGAGAAATAAAGCCATGTGAATACAGGTGGCACTCCTAAAACAATAACAACAAACTTTCTAATAAAATTCAATACATGATGATACCTATGTGGAGAACCTTTGTTTCCAAAGCTGTCACAATATACAAATGTTAGCAGAAATTTGGTAAAAAACCAAAAAACAAAAAACTCAAAAAATCTTTCCTGATGAATCCAATTATTTATAAAGTCACTTCTTCTTATGGAAATCCTCCCCTTCGAGGGGAGGCCCAGCTCAGGGGTCACCAACAAGAGGCCCTTCCTTATCCCCCTCCCCCAGGAAGAGAGGACTCTCTCCACTCCCAGCTCCCAATCTTTTTATACCTCTCTAGCCTCTCTTATACACTCTCTTTATTTTAGCTTTCCTAATCCCCCTAATAAACTGCAGTCTTCTTGCTGGCAGGGACTGTCTGATTTTTCATCTTTGTGCCTAACACAGGGCCTTGCATATAAGAGGTGCTGAATGGGGTATCACAGAAGCTCAAGAATTGGAAGTGACTTTGAAAAGTCATCTGGACTAATTTGTCCCTAAATGGGAATTTGATCTACTAAATCTCTTCCAAAGGAATCATTCAGTCTGTGCTTAAAGGCTTCCAGAGTAGCAGCTAATCCCACTTTGGGACAGCTCAAATGGTTGGGAAGTTTTGTTGAATTGCCACACCACCCGGTTAGCTAGGGTGCAGGGAGGGTCGGGGGAGGAGATGGTGGAGGTGGCTATACCTGCCATCTATGTAGGTCAGACACCAGATACCCTGTTTTGATTCTGGAACAAAGACCTGGACCCTTGTAGGACATTAAAGATAAAAAAAGGTGGATGGGCTGCAGAAACAATACACTGAATCTTCAGTTTAAAAACCACAACAACAAACATGTCTCTCAATGACTACTAATAACACCCACAGGAATATATCTGAAAGGATGTCTGATGACCAATTGCCAAACATCTCCTTTGAATTATTAAAACCTCATGTATCATACACACACATACACACATACTCTTGTCAAAACAAATAATATAAAAATCGAAATAAAACACAGCTTTAAGGTTTAATTTTTATCCTCACAACAACCCTCAGAGGTGGGTGCTCTTATCATTCTCATTTCACAGATGGGGAAACAGAGGCACAGAAGTTAAGTGACTTGCCCGGGGTCACACTGCTTTAAAATAAGAGTCTCAGGCTGGATTTGAACTTAGGTCTTTCTGACTTCAGGTCCAGCCTGTGCCACTTGCCTGCCTAAGATTAATACCTTAAGAAAACCCTTAAATTGGAAGACTAGCCAAAGTTACAGAGGCTGTTAATGCTGAATTACCCATAAAGAAAGATTTTAAACTATCAGGGTCCAAAATAAACTTTCTGAAATATTTTATTCAAAAGTGTCCAAGTCTGTAATGGTCCTAGACAGTGTGATACCAATTTTTCACTGTTTTGAAATACAGAAAATTCCTCCTTTTTTGCCCTAGACCAAACCCCAGTTGCAATGAGTTGGTCTAAATTGCCTGGCTATCTCCATAGCTTCATGCTACTTATTTGGTGAAATACACACAAGTATTTCATATTATGCAGAACTGAAAGCAGAATGATAAATCTTTTACTGGCTATTGAGTAATGACTGGTATCACACATTACTGTCTATGGAACACAAATTGCCCCTCTCATTAAATTATACAATTGAAGACTCCCAAGACGGCTGAAGTATTCTCTCTTAAGGACATGGATTGGATAAACGGCACCTTTCCTCTTCTCGACTGGTATATTTGAACTGCACATCTTACTGTGTGCTTTAAATGAACAATCAACAAAAGCGGCGTTGAGAATAAGCAGCTCCTGATAATTTTTGGTTTATCCATTTACTGAGATAACAGAATAGTGATGTACTTGCCTGATCTCCAAAATTCACTTTCAATGATTCTTCTATCATAATACTATATTATTTACTGCTTACTTTCCTTGTTTTCTTTGCTAGCATTCTTCCCGCAATAACATTTACACAATATTAAGCAACACAACCAAGTCGTTTTACAATGGAGGACAGGATTGAGAGACAATTTTTAATTTACAGATCAGTACCCATGTTTATCCAAATAATGCATAGAACAGGCTGTACTGTTGAATTTATGGAATTTTGGAATGTAGAAGGGTAAAAAGAATTAATGTCTTATGACCTTTTTTTTCCTCGTCATATCACAGGGAACAAGGCTGGTAGTCAGGAGGAAAATGAAGCAAAAGTGTGAGTTTCATAGCTGTAATTTTAAAAGGGAAGATATATTATGACATTTTTTTGCTGCAGAAACTGCATTATTCTGAAGGAATATTCCATTGCCCCAACACACAAATCATTCATGTGAGAGGAGAGCAGATGGATCATGTGGGTAAAATTTTGCAGTGATTTGGGGAGAGAAATAAAATACTGTTAGGAAGGCAGGAGGTGGAACATAAAGCTTCATTGTTCTTTTCCACAGGATTCTATGCTGACAAGTGCTTCCTCTAGTTCCAATTGTATTCTCAAAAAAAAAATCGCTTCCAAAATTTTCAGGACACCATGCTGAGACATCTCGTAAATTGTAAATGTCTCCTATTGAGAATGATAATTACAGAAGAGTTTGATGAAGTTTGTCTGGTCTAGCCATTTATTGAGTGCCAGATAGGTATAGAAGCCCATATTTGGAATTGTGATGAGACAGAGAGAAGCTTTTGCCTTGAAGAGGCAGCTATAGAGCATAATGGATAGAGTGCTGGGCTTAGAGGCAGGAAGACCCGAGTTTGAATCCTATCACAGACATCTACTAGCTCTGTGACCCCAAATAAGTCATTTTCAGCCTTAGTCTCTTAAAATGGAAGGAAAGAAATAAACATTTATTAAACACTTACCATGTGCAAAGCACCATGCTAAACACTTTATAAGTATTATCTTATTTGACCCTCATACTGCCCTTGGGAAGGAGCTGTTATTATCATCCCTATTTTACATTTAAGGAAACAGAGGTAGACAGAGGTAGAGTGACTTGCCTATGATCATACAGCTAGTAAGTTTCTAAGGTTGCATTTGAACTCAGGAGTTCCTATCTTCAGGCATGGCACTCCATCCACTGTGCCAGCTAGCTGTCTCTAAACTGGGATAATAATAATAATCATAACAACAAAAACCATCTACCTCTCAGAGTTATCGTATCAAATGAGGTAATATTTATAAAGGCTTAGCATAGTGCCTGACAAGTGCTTAATAAATGCTTATTCCAACCATCTATCCATCCATCTGTCCATTCATCTAAGATAATGTATGTTAAGTGTTTTCCAGATATTGAAGTGCTACAAGAAATGGCTTAAGACCGTCAATAAAATAAACATAATATTCATCTCATCAACTAAAGATCGTCTACTCTAACCCCTTTCATTTTATAGAGGGGAAGCCAAAGCCCCAACATGTGAAACAACCTTTTGTCCAAGGTCATATACAATTCGAGGCAGGAGGTTTTTTCCGATCCTCTGGGGATCCTAGGATACTTTGTACAATACCACAATCTTTCTTTGCCCCTCAAATCTCAGCATCATCTAAAGCAAGTACACAAGTGCTGTGTCAGTTCAGAGCAAATGGGGTAAATGTAGGTAGATGGGACTAATTTTATTTTGAAAACTAAAGAAAAAAAAGGGGGGCTTCTTAGAGGCAGATTTTGAGCCAGGTTCTGAAAGATGGGAGAGGCTCTAAGAGCTAGTGTTTACATAGAACTTTACATATGTTAACTCCTTTGATCTTCACAACAATCCTGGAAGATGGGTGATTTATGATTTCCATTTT